TAATGGACACTCTCTATAGCGTACACCTCCATTTAACGGATACAGAGGTGTCCTTTATGTGGAGGTTATTTTATACAGTAAGGAATGTAATTGGTACACTAGGTGCTGTCCGTTAAATGGAGGTGTACGCTATAGAGAGTGTCCATTAAGAGAGACTATATACTGTATCTATACTCTATCTTCATACACAGGTCCTCATTCCTCATAGTGTATCCAATGGATCAGTTACTAATCCTTCACTAGTCCAGTTTGGACACGGACTGTTCGGTGATAAAGTAATTAATAATAGTTAATAATAATTATTAATAGTTATAAAGTTATTTTAATTGTGCTGGATAATCTATTCTAAGAACTGTTTGTTGACATTACTTGTGCAGTACATTTATGGATAATTTGTAATAACATAATAATTATATACTGGAGTATTATTATTTCATTGGTATCTGTATCATGTACATGTACAAATTGATACTACAGTATAACCTCCTCCTATTGTGGACACTCTAAAATAAGGACACCTCTATAATGAGGAGGGGTAGTATCAGTCCCAATACAATAGTAATGCGTATTAATGAACCTCTGAAATAAGGACAGGTTCATAATCAGGAGCTAGGGTATTATTGGGTCCCAAGGTCTCCGGAATAGACAGGTATAACACGTACACATGAATACCTTTATCCTCCATACAATGTACTGTAGTATCCTCTTACTACACTAGGTTACAAGTATAGTCAGGCCTACCTTAAGTATATCCCTAGCTCCCTTTATTAATATCATCATTAATAAAATTACGTTATACTAATTTTCTCTCTCTCTCTCCTCTAGACAGAAGTAGAACAACACTACCTACAGAAGCAGGCCAATACCTATGGGTACATCCTATTCTCCTGTACTCTGTGGGGACTAGCTAATTATGACATACCCAGTATAGTACTGGAGCTGATACTGCAGGACATATCTAACTTTAGGGTCCTTCCTGATAGGCTGGGACAGGGTGTGGTCAATGAGCTAGTGTTAATGAGGTTAATGAAAGGGGCTTACTCCTCGCACCCACTCCTACTGGTTAATGGTAGGAGAGTCATTGACCAAAGAAGGGTTCATTATTATGGGCTGTCACTGGGCGGAATAATGGGTGTGGTCTACATGGCATTGACTAATGACGTGGAGAGAGGTAATAATTATTAGCTACTATGATACATATTGATGCCATTATGCTGTGTAGCAAGTTTGAGCTGATTCCGACTTTAATTTTTCAAGTTACGGCCATTTTAAGAAAATGCAAAAATCCGAAAAATACCCAAGGCTATAATAGCCCATGGTTTTTTCCAAAAAATGGTCCCGAAATCATCCCAAATTTTTATTACATTTTCTGATACATATTGATGTCCTTATGCTGTGTAGAAAGTTTGAGCTGATTCCGACTTCAATTTTTAAAGTTACAGTCATTTTAAATAATAATATATGGATTAGTTAATCTATTTTTTATCCTTTGCATATTCATCTA